TACTGTAAATATACATGATTTTATCTGATTGTCGTCAACAATTTGTTGTTTTTTGTTGTTTTGGTATAATACAAGATTATTGCAATATATACTGAATATATACGTTTAATATACGGTTAATATACGCTATTAACATGATGCGATGCTAAAAGATAAACAAAAAGCAGTTCGATAAGTAAAAGATATTTGTGTTTGGCGAAATATGTTTTCAGTATTGTGGGATTTGTGTATATCAAGAAGTAAAAGTCGTTTGTAATTAAATTCATAACCTTTCCTATTTGTATTGAACAAACTCCTAATTAATAGAATATATTGACTTACCATGTGTATATATGCAAGGAGAGAGAGAAAATGGCATTGGATATGACCTCCACAAATCAAGGAGGCGTTGCATTTCAGTTTGGTAACTGAAATCTTAGTATTTTTTCAATTAATTGTCATGTAGTTGGTACAAATGCAATAAAATATTTGTCCATGATATATTTACAATTATTTTTAATCCTTTAAGTAAAGATAAAATTTTCCCGTGTAAATTGGCCATTAAATTACCCACAACAAATGGTTAAAGCTCAAGCCAAGTATGATCGGGCCCAGTCCAAGTCCATATCCATCTTGACTCCAATTGAATTGTATGATTTTTGTGATTTTGCAAGCAAAAATATATGGACCGTGAAGTTATAATAATAAAAATGGTCCAGACCCAAACTAGAACTTAAAATGGGTCAAGCCCATGCGATTATTCCCATATTTGTAGAGAAGCATAGAGAATTAGTATGGTTTGTAAGTGAAAGGTATAATTCTCTTAATTTGTCCTCAATTATTTGCTAGTGTTATATGAGAAAATCAGGCCGTTATATACAAATCCTTATTCATTGCATATTTATGAAGTTTTTTATTTTCAATTACAAATAAGCTAACGTTCAATATTTATGAATGATCGATTAGAAGGGTATTTTTGTCATTGCTTCCTAAATCGCAATGCTTTATAGTATATATAACTTATTTATAAATAAGTTATGTATTATTATTAATTTTTTTTAATGTTGTATTTATATTAAAAAAATAAAATTATAATAAAAATGTAAAAACACGTACTATAAATGTCTAGAGAAAGCCCATTTTAGGCCTCAAGACCTAAAAACAGAAAATACGTTTCATTTTTAAGACTCTGTTTAATCACCTTTATGAACAACATTGATTCTCAAATATTTAACGTTGACATGAATCATGAATGTAAAACATATTAAAAATCCAAAATAAAGACAAATAAATTATTAATTACATATGGGGGAAAAATTCTATTTCATTGTATAGTTTATGCTCTCCCTTGAATAGTTTAATCAATCAGACACCAAGTTTCACGGTCTTTCAGCATTAGTAACCCTAGACAGCAATATACTCTGCTATTCGATTGTTGCCTTACAATATATTCAACCAAAACACATTTTTCGATCAAACATAACTATGGAATAATATAAATTTTGCCCTTTAAATTTAATGCAATAACAACTTTGAAATCATAGTAGTAAAATAGGCTAGTAGTCTAAGAATACTTTCACTCTCAACCTTGAAGTTATTCACACGATTAATAGATATCAGTTTTTACTAGCGAATCAAACTCAACAATAATTACGGATTGTATGTTCAATTTACATATTGTCGGTTCATTTTACATGTTCCCACATTAGCCATTTATATATCAAATGATCATTGCAATGTAGATCATTTCCTTTTCTATTTTTTTTTCATCTAAAGAAAAATGTGTGTATATGTTACAAAAGGAAGTGAATATCATTTTTTATATTTGCCTTGCATGGAAAAGACACATTATTTGACGTTTCATTGTTCAATTCTCTTCATTAACTACCAATTAAACTCAAAACAACTCATAAGCAATTAAGTAGAGAGGTTGACAAATTTGTCAAAACAATCTACCCAATTATATATGATCATCACCACATACAAAACGTTTTGACATTTAACTTACATTGAATGGGCCAAACAAAATCACTAACATTAACTAACAATGATTTTTTAACTCCCAAAATCAAATTCCTCAAATCCCCAAACACATGAATTTCATGTCCTCAAAAAACTTCCTATAAAATCCCCATGCATGTTCTCTTCAATCCCAACACACAAAGAAAAACTTCCAAAACATCTTCTTTAATAATAAAAACAAAATTAGCAATGGCCAAAAAGCCGAGCATGGGCCGCCAAAAGATCAAGATCGAGAAAATCGAGGTAAAAAACCACCTCCAAGTCACCTTCTCCAAGCGACGTTCGGGCCTCTTCAAGAAGGCTAGCGAGCTCTGCACGCTCTGCGGTGTCGAGATTGCCATCATAGTATTTTCTCCGGCTGGAAAAGTCTTCTCGTTCGGCCACCCGAACGTCGAGTCCATAGTTGACCGGTTCTTGGCCCGAGGCCCGGCCCATGGCCCGAGCCCCGTCCCGGGCCCGTTCCACCTGGTGGAGGCCCATAGGAACGCGAGCGTTCGGGAGCTGAACATGCAGTTGGGCCAAATCCTGAACGAGCTCGAGGCCGAGAGGAAAAGAGGGGAGGAGTTAGACGGGATGCGTAAGACGGGCCAGAGCCACTATTGGTGGGAGGGCCCGATCGACAAATTGGGCCTGGACGAGCTCGAGCAGCTCAGGGATGCTATGGAGGAGCTGAAGAGGAATGTGGCCGGCCAGGTTGCCAGGATGGCAG